AAATGAGAGCAAAAGTTGGGCTGAAGGTCGAGATTTGGGAGACAAAGCGGGGAGGTGATCGCTAGAGCTCTGGGAGCAGATAAAATGCTCTGGAAGGAGGCCAAGCTGCGGGGACAGAGCTTGGGGGAATTCCATCATTGAGGAGCAGGAGAAAAGAGAGGCAAGAAAGCAGAAACAAGTCTAGGAGGTGGGGGGTGGGGGAGTACCACTTCGTGCCACTGCAATTATGGAAAGCTTTATAGAAAGTGATGATTTCAGTTGTTACTCCCAACCCCCTCCTTCAGAGTCTGGGCTCTGCAGTCAAATGCCAGATTATACGATTTTGTTCCATACCCAATACATAGTGACTAGTGAAACCTTTTGCAATTTGCTGTTTTAGGCATTGTACACAAGTTACTCAGTTTAATTGTTAAAATAAGCCTGGAAATGATTTTCATCATTTTGTAAAAGAAGAACAGAGATGATAACAAACTTGCTCAAGGTCACAAAGCCATTTAACAATAAAAACAGAGTTCAAAGGCAATCAATTGGATGCTAAAGCCTGGACTTTTGGCCATGACGCCATCTTTTCCCTACATAACGCTTCAGTAAATAGCTGAATTTCAAGGGGGCTTTTAAGGGGATGGTTTCTGCTTCCTGTTGCACTGCATTTCTTTTCTACATTCGCTTACATTTCCCACTGGCTGCTCTTGTCTGGAAAATGTCTGAGGTCCTTACCTGTGGGATTATTCCTGGCTTTCTCATGTTAAGGGAATGCCACCTCCTTCCCTGGGCACCTTGAAGCGCATTAGAACCCCAACTGGATAAGCCAGTAACACGTGGGGTGTGCACCCTTTTCAGCCACAGCACACCAGAGGCCCAGTGCCACTAAGTGCTTTTTAATCACCCTAGATTTGCAAGAGTATGTCCTAATGACACTTCCTATAGGGCATCATTACATCTACAAAAATGTTTTCTCATAAAATATTTGTAGAAAATGCCTAATCAATCCTGTCTTGGGCAATTACACCCAATCTCCTCACCCTGGGAGCCTCTGTTAGGAAATTAGGTCTTGCTTTTCCTGCTTCTCATAGGTGTCATCAGCTGCAGCTTGGCGGGGGCAGGTTCTGTCGGGAGCCTGATCCTTAGGTGTGGGCTCACAGTGACACACTCCATGAATGAAGGGGCAGACAAGAGCCACACGGATTATAGTATCTGAGGCTCATTGTTGCTTTCAGCATCTTTGAAAAGGAAACTAAACACAACTGATTATTATAAGCTGAGAATTAAGTCAATGAAATTGTCCATAAAAAGTTGTAAAGGGGTGCTGGGCACATTTATAAGACCTCCATAAACATTGTACTCTAAAATACCCCAAAGCCCCGGATGGTATGGCTCAGCTGGTTGGAGCCTCATCTGTAATCAAAAGGTCTCGGGTTCGATGCCCACTCAGGGCACATACATAAATTGCAGCTTCTATCTCCAGTGTGGGCATATACGGTAGGCAGCCAATCCATATTTCTCTGTCTCACATTAATGGTTCTCTTTCTCTCTCCTTCTCCTTCTTCTCTCCTTTTCCCTCTCCTTCTCCGTTGCTTTTTCTCTAAAATCAATGGAAACATATCCTGAGGGGAGAAGGATTAAAAATAAATAAATACAATATCCCAAAGACCTGGGCTATGCCTAACAGTTAACTATGACCCATTATGTGTGAAGGTGCTTTGTAACTCACAAAGTTCTCTATAGACATAGTGTACTTGCATTGTATCTTAGGAAAACTAATATTTTAAAGAAACCCTGAAATAAGGAGGATCATTTTAACAGAATAATTAGCCCTGAATTCAGCAAGTTATGTTTTCATATATTGTTTTTGTTGTTGTTGTTGTTTTAAAGAGGAACAAACCTCATAAGCTAGCTTTTCTCCAGATCACTTTGGAGCTTAACCAGACAAATATGTTGTGCCGTGTTGACAGCTTGATATCTCCCTGGTCTCCACTCGGTGACTCTCACAGAGCATGTTGGGATGCTGAGTTATCTACATAGCAGAGCCACCACACTTAACACGGTTGATAACAGGATCCCTAACACACCTGCTTACAGCAACCTGGTGGCTGAGAAATGAAGGTCACTCTGCCCGCTGGTGGCTTATGTTTGACTGTGCTCCAGGTGCCGTGGCCACTTGGGACCTTTGTCCTGCAGGTGAATAATTTTTGAGATAGAAAACCATGCACATCTGGAGGGCATTGTGCCAGCACTGGAGTTCAGAATTTGAGGCTAGGCTCAAATTAGGTGGAGGGCGGAGGAAGGTCTGAGGGCAAGAACTGAGCGGGGAATTGCTCCCAGGGAAATCTGTGAGGACTAGCAAAGTAAAAAAATGGAGGATGGTGGGAACACACGGCAGATTCCTCTGTTTCCTGGAAAAGGGTTACTTCAGGACGGCTCTATTTCCATAAGACTCCTGGAGCTGCGCCGGAGCTGGCTAATAGGATGGATATGAATTGGCAGCCACATTATCCAAAGAGAAAAAAATAATCCCTTAAGTTGACTCCCCAGAAACCTTTCAAAGGGCTCCAGGAAGAGTTTTTCCCCTTGCCAGTAAAATAGGACATTTTAGTCATTCTGAAGATCTTAGGACCAGCGGACAATCCTTAAAGAAATTGAGCCTGAATGTCTAGTCAGATGGGAAATATGTGATCATTTTAGCCTAAGGGAAGAAGCAAATTAGATCTGAATAGGCATAATAGCAGAGGGGCAAGAGATTCCTGCATGATTTTGAGTTTTATTTGAAAAGACATTATTATAATGGGCTGGAGTGGTGATGTTCCATGGGCAAGATTTTACTAATGCTATTTGACAGCTGCATATTCTGAGTGCCTGGTTTTAAAAGCAAGATGTTAAATTGGGGGAAGGATCTTTTAAAAAGCTAACTATAAATGTTTATCTGTTTAGCTAATAACCCAATTCTCTAGCACTGAGGTACATTTTCTTTTAGGGCAAAAAAATATCAAGGGGGCTAACGTATTACCAGAGATGAAAATGGGACGGGTTGAAATTCAAAACAGATTAAGGCTAATTGGAACAATTATAAAAATTTGATTCTGCAATACAATCCATTTAATTTACTTTCCTGTTGATCAGTGGTGGCTGCCTGCTTTAGCTAGACCATCTTAGTGAGGGGATTCTGTTCTTTCCAAAAACCTTTGAAGTAGATGTGCATGCTACTCAGCTTCCCGCCCTCCCCCACCCCCCTCACATACATATAGGAGTTATTTTTTTTTGACCCAAAATAGAATACATGTGCATTTCAATATCAGTGGATTGAAATTGTTTGGCTTAATGTGAATTTATGAATGGAAAGGAGAAAGACCTATCACTAAATTTGGAACATTGGATGTTATTTTAGAAACCAGCTTGAAAGGTTTTTGTGCAGTCTCAGAGTAGAGGATAAGACCGTGTGAATAATTTATCTAGTCCTAGAAATATTAATCAAATAATTTGGATAGTGATAAATAGCTTTTCATTTGGACTAATTGATTTTTTTAAAGTTCCTTACCAATTGTATTTTTTTGTTTGTCTGTTTTCTGAATGTTTGTGTTAACTCTTGTGGGAGATCCTTGGGTTGTGATGAAAATTCCATGCCAAATGCTGGTATTAACTGTGGAGTGAGTCAGCTGGTGCTGGCAGAAGGAGAAATGAGCTCCGCCTTCCTATCAGTCTGTGAATGGATTGTGAAGGGTTTGTTAATTTTTTCTTTACTCCACTGAAGCAGATACTCACAGATATTTGCTGTGTCGCAAGGCTTTTATTTGATCATGCGAAGAACGGTTTGGGGAGGGGAGGTGCTATTTGGGAAATAGAATCATAAGGTACATTAAAAATAGAAATACTTGGCCTTGTTTGCTTGTTAGAAACAGTCTTGACTGTGCTGCTTTCCAGCCAAATCCTGTTTTGGAAAGGGTGATTACGGGCCGGGACTCCTTTTACCCCCTGGTCTGCCTGCCGGAGCCCCTTCCCTCATCCTTTCTTGCATTTCACCTCTAACCCTAGCCGGCCTTGACCCTCATAGGTGTGTCAAATATTAATACCACAGATGCCTGCCTGCCTTTCTACACTATCATAAGGCTGCTTCCCCAAGAGACATAAAACTATTATTCTCCACTGCATCCCCAAACCCAAAGATAATCTGCATCCTTCCTTTGCCTTTCTTTCTTTCTTTCTTTCTTTCTTTCTTTCTTTCTTTCTTTCTTTCTTTCTTTCTTTCTTTCTTTCTTTCTTTCTTTCTTTCTTTCTTTCTTTCTTTCTTTCTTCCTTTCTTCCTTTCTTCCTTTCTCCCTTTCTCCCTTTCTCCCTTTCTCCCTTTCTCCCTTTCTCCCTTTCTCCCTTTCTCCCTTTCTCCCTTTCTCCCTTTCTCCCTTTCTCCCTTTCTCCCTTTCTCCCTTTCTCCCTTTCTCCCTTTCTCCCTTTCTCCCTTTCTTTCTCTTTCTTCTTTCTTCTTTCTTCTTTCTTTTTGTTTGTTTGTTATTAAAAGAACATGGTATAGAATACACATATTTGTTCCTAAAGTCAGAGGGCAAGCGTTTCACTTGCATTTCCAGTTAAGTGAGACACATGCAGCTCTGGGGACAGAAGGGGGTGGGGACGGCTGAACTGCCAGGAATGCATAGCCCTTTGACTAAAACGGGTGGTGGTGCTTAGTGCTAGATTTATGGAATGGCTCCTCTCCCCGCATCGTCCCTGCTTCCTACAATTTGGTGCTTTGTTGCTATCAAAACAGGCTTACTTTCTGAGCCATCGTGATGGTGCAGGGGGAGGGGGCTGTGGCGGGCAGGGGTGGCGGTAGTAGTGAATGACACAGCTCCGCCAGATGACAGCGGACCTCTGCGCCAGGAGGAATTAGGCTCTGTCCCTCCCCACGGGGACCACCTTTCTCCCGGTATGTGCGCGAGGAGCTGGTAGGCTGCCGCTGCAGCCAGCGGAGCAGAGCCCTGAGTGCACTTGGCCGCAGACAGCAGGGAGCAAGAATGATAGCTGTCTCTTTCAAATGCCGCTGTCAGATTCTGAGGCGACTTACTAAAGGTACCGTGATTCTCTCTTCCTCTTCACTCCCCGGGTTTGTTGCAGTGGCCTGTCAGCAGTTTCACGGGTTTTTACTTTCAGATATGACCGTCTTTTCAGTTTACTGTCAGGCAACAAAGAACTCAGGGAAATATGTATAGATGTTTATGTGCAGGTGACTCGGCATGGCTTTCCCCCCTCACAGCCTGGTGGTGTGCCTGCTGAAATCATGAGCCAGCTTGTGTGTGTGTGTGTGTGTGTGTGTGTGTGTGTGTGTGTGTGTGTGTGTGTGTGTGTTCTTTTCCCTTACTGACTTTATTCTCTCTTGAAAAGAAAATGTGTCTGGGTCCAGGACTGAAGTTATGATGGGGAAACCAGCCTATTGCTTGCCAATTCACCGGTCAAGAGGCATCCAGCGTGTGTTTCTGTCTTCCTCTCCCGGACACACTGACTGAAATGCCATCGGCAGCCTGGGGACCCGCACAGCCGGGGAAGCCACAGAATCATTGTTTATCCCGTTAATGTCCAACATCTCGTGAGCTTTTTCCCAGGACAGCATTAATTTTTTCTTAATTTTAGAATTGCACATCATAAATGTAGGTAATTTTGAAATGCTTCGGTCCTGGGTGGGATTCGAACTTTATTCAAAAGTAAAAATTGTTGCTCCGTGTCTCGTCATCAAATAGGACTGGCTTGAGATTATCTCTCTTACAACTCTAAAATATTCATTCGATCTCTAATATGGAAAATGTGTTTTTCTTTGAAATCACTCCATGCCATCTTGTTTACTCTGCATGCATTCCATCCCAAAGTTAGTGAATGGTGGCTTTTAAAAGCTAGCCTTAGGTATGGGTAGATATGTGAGCCCTCTTGTCTTCTTCTTATTTTTTTTTCTTAGATAGAATTTTCTTTAGAGAGAATTATTTTTAAAAAACAACAACTTTACCCTGGGTAAAAGTGTGTAGCTGAAAATGCCCTCCCCCCCTTTTTTTAACCTGTAACATACGGCACTGTTGAGTAATTAATGGATGTAATTATGCTCTAGAAGCTCTGAACCTATAAATATGTTAATGGATGCTATTTCTATCAGTTTAGCTCGACACATCAGAATGCTTTGATCACCAGCAGTGCAGCTAAAAGTGCAATTAATATTTTATTTGGCAGAAGAATGAGCACAAAGCCTATAGTGAGAAACAGATCAGTAACAGGAAAGAGAATAGATATTATAGCCCAACTGACATAATGCATTTGCAAGTTGTTTGGACAGCAGAGCAAGTCCTTCCTAAGGTAATTTGGAGGGAATACAGGAAAAACAATCCATTTTAAACTAAGCTGTTAGTGTGAGGTAGTAGATACTGTTTTGACTTTATCCGCTGCAATGGATACAAATGTGTAATTTCTGTTTATGAATTGCTATTAAAAGTCTATTCTTTAGGTGGTGGTTTTCGCTAAGACTTTAAAAGCTCTTATTCAAAAAAGTTATTTTCTTATCTGATTTTAGCATGTACTTAGCTTGATGCTGAGAAGTTGATGCTTGTCTTACATTGTAATCATGAAACAATCAATATTTTCTATTTGTGTATATCGGAAATTCTTTTCTAAACCATACATACTAAATCCCAAGTGAAACCAAGCAATTTTTAGTTCCTACAAATATTTTAAAGCTTTTTCTAGTTTTCTGAATCTTATGGAAGCATCTATCTCATGCTGCGAATAGAGATTTAAGTGTTTACTGAGATAGTAGTTAAAGATCTAGATCAGCCGTGACCCTTGTGGCTAGGTTAGTTGTAGCATATCTGTTGTGGGTTCAATTCCCAGGCAGGGCACATGCCCAGGTTGCAGACCCCATCCCCAATTGGGGGCGCATATGGGAGGCAACTGATACTGATCCATGTTTCTTCTCTCTCTTTCTCTCTCTCTCTCTTTCTCTCTCTCCTCTCCCTCCCTCCCTTCCTCTCTCACTCCCTCCCTCACTCCCTTTCTACAATAAAGTCAATTTCAAAAAATTTTAAAAATCTATATCAATGAAGAAAGTATTGATACCTTCTTCATAGTTGGTATTTCACTTTTCCCCCCAATATTTTTATATCTGCTCTTTTTTATTTGGTATTTAGCTGAAGACTTCCAGTTGATGACTAAAATAAAATCTTTCTCCCTGGCCAGTGTGCCTCAGTGGTCTCCATCAAGGGCATGTACCTGGATTGCAGGTTCAATCTCTGGCCTGGTGTGGCACCGGGGGCAATTGGGAGGTGACCATTAGAGTGTCTCGCTCACATTGATCTGCTTCATGTTTCTGAGACAACCTTGCTATTTGTGGTTGGTGTCACCTATAAGAAAAAGCAGTATGGCAATTACAATATCTTTTGAATTTCTCTTAAGGAAAAAAGGATGTATGCAATTAAAGAGAAACTATTTTCTATATGCACTCACATCCTTAGTATTTTACTTAGTTTTTTGTTTGTTTGTTTGTTTGTTTGTTTGTTTGTTTGTTTTTAGGTTTCGTTATTCATCTATTGTCAAATTAACAAATATCTATTGAACACTGGAATCATGGACTGGGACATTTTATGGGATAATAAGCATTTTTAAAATGGAGAATATTATGCTAAGTAGATAAAATAAGTCAGAGTAGATAAAATAAGTCAGAGAAAGACAAATGCCATATGGTTTCACTTACATGTGGAATCTCATGAACAAAATAAACAAACAAAATGGAAACATACATAGATACAGAGAACAGACTAACAGCTGTCAGAGGGCAGGGAGCATGGGGGACTGGGTAAAATAGGTGAAGGTATTAAGAAAAAAATCATAGACATGATTACTAGAGAGAAAGGGGAGTAAAGAGAGTAAAAGGGGGAGTAAATGGTGATAAGAGGAGACTTAACTAAACATACAAATACAGATGATGAATTATATAATTGTATACCTGTAACCTATAATTTTATTAACCAACTAGAGACTCAATGCACGAAATCCATGTAAGAGTAGGCCTTCCTTCCCCGGGTTGCCAGCACCGGCTTCCCTCTCGCACCCGGGACCTGGGCTTCCCTTGCAGCCCTGGCTTCATCTGGAAGGTCATGCAGGACACCCCGTCTAATTAGCATATTACACTTTTATTATTATGATAGATGTCATCTCAATAACTTCAGTGAAAATAATAAATAAATTATTATTTTGGGAAGTGGTTTTAAAAGATCTATAAAATTTATATTTTACAGACAAATCCTCTGGTCATCCCACATAGAATCATGGCCCACGATAATATGGCAGGACATATTTTAGGTGAACTTAGCACTTCTCAGACTTAGGAATTGAGTCTTTTTTCTTATTAAGTTTTCAAAGCAACATGTGTTTGCCTTATTCACCCCCTACCAAGGTAAAACAAGAACAAGAAAATAACCTTGACTCCCGGGGCCAATCCCTGCCCTTAAGACAGGAACTTTGGGCCACGGACAGACCCAGACTGTCAAAGGTATTCTTCTACTTCTCATGCCGACATCCAGAGAGGTATTCTTCTACTTCTTCTGCCTCCGCTCTTCCTCCCTGCCTCCAGAGTGCGACTGTCTACTGATTCCCTAGCCTTGAAGACAAATCCAAAAATGACATTTTTTCAGCTTCCCAGCCACATCGGACAAAGGCATTTTCCTGAGCAAGTAAAGCCAGGCTTCTTGGCACCTACCTTCCAGCTGCCTTCCTCTGAGAGCCCTGCTTCTTCTGCCAGGGGCTGAGGTACCTCGGGAGACATGAACAGGTCCTTACAGAAGGGAATACCTTTTCGTGCTTTTACAGGCTTTGTTCTCTTTCTCTTGTCATGATGGTGTCGTCTCTTGCTCCTTGAGATTGGTTGGCTCCCTATGCAAAGAATCATTTTCCGTCATGATAACTGGTATTCCTCTACTTCTTTCTAACTGTTTTTAGCTCAGTGATCTGAACCTCCATGCACCATGGGCAATGGAGCTCTTATTCTGTCTGCCAAACTCCACATCAGCCAATACATACTTACCCGCATTCTGCAGAGGCCGTGGCTCTGGTAACCTTGTGGGTTTTGTCACCATCCACTTTATCTCCCTGTCTCCTTTCTACCAGCTCGAAACTTGTGTTCAAAAATGTGTCTTCATGTTAGTCTAGATTTCAAACTTGTTCATTAGAACTGGCCTCACTGTCTTTTTTTTTTCTACTTGCTTTCTCTCCTGCTTCTTTCCCAACACACATATAGAATAGAATTAACCCTCCCTGCCCCTACCATCAGCTTACTACTGGCAGCCCATTGCCCTGCGTCCCAGTGGGGGACTGAGCTAGATGTTTGTGGCTGGCATCCAGCAGCTTCCTGCTGTGTGTGCCTTCTTTCTCTCTGCCTCTCTCTCTCCTGGATTTCTCCTCCCAACCTCGATATCCTTCCTTCTGCCCTGCTGCCTGGACACTCAGGGGCTGAACAGATTTAAAGGGTTTTGTTCTGATCGCAGGCACATTCTCTTCCTTGAAGTCTTTGCTCCTTACACTTCCCCCAATCTTGGAATCATCATGCTTGAAAGGGAAGGTCAGACATTAATCTAGGATTTGTCTCCCGAGAGAACTGAAACTCAACCATCTTAGACAGCCAGCAATCTTCATCTTAATTCCCTCCAGCAGGGACAGTCTCACAATGTGTCTGATAACCTTTCAAAGGATTGTTCACGTGACCTCTGGATCCCTTTAAGCTCTTTGATGCTCATCTAAGGTGTTAAAAAAAAAAGTTTTCTCTTCAGAAATTCATTTTCTATGTGCAATGCAATCAACTTCAACAATGCATTTACATTTTTTTTTTATCTTAGTGGAAGAGAAAATGAAGGTATTTCCTATCTCTTCCCTTCTGCAACATTCTTTTAATCCAAAGAACTTTGCTTCAGTCATTGAGTTCAGAGCCATTGTTCTGAACATGATTGCTCCTCTTCGGATAACCTCACATTTTCTGCTTAGATCCCCCTGCACTTTGCCATCCATCTGTGTCCAGTTGTGCGGCTCCTCCAGCATTCTGTTCT